CAAGAAAGCAGGGGAGGGACTATTCACAAGGGTTTGTAGTGACAGGACGAGGGGTAATGGCTTTAAGCTAGAAAAGGGCAGATTTAGGTTAGACGTTAGAAAAAAGTTCTTCAGTATGAGGGTGACAGACTACTGGAATAGGTTCCCCAGAGAGGTGGTGGAGGCCCCATTCCTGGAGACATTCAAGATCAGGCTGGATGAAGCTTTGAGCAGCTTGATCTAGTTGGAGATGTCCCTGCTTATGGTGCAGGGGTTGGACTAGGTGACCTTTGGAGGTCCCTTCCAGCCCAGACATTCTATGATTCTATGATATAGAAGATGCTGTGTCATTTTTGCCTCTTTACACTTCATGCATATGCATGGAAATCTTTGCAAAAAATGTCAGTAGAATGTTTGCTGTCCACATATTGCTGTGGACACATACTGTGTTTAAACATATTGTTTTGAAATTACTGGAATCTGATTTTTAAAATTACCGAGGCTTCCTGATGTTTTTTAAAACTAACATAAATACTAATGGAATGCTAATCTAAATACTAATGGTTACTAGAGTTGAAAAAGTTATTTAAACAAATGTTGGCTCTTTATCCTGGTATTTTCTAAGCCAAGTGTCTGCTTCAGTTTGAGTCTTGTGAAGACATTGCATGCAAAATGTTTAAGCTCTTTCTGAAAAAGAGAATTCTGGTGATCACTTGTGGAGAAGCACTAGCACTTCCACATTTTGAAGCAGATATTTAAAACTTCATGAGAATTATTGTGGATTATTACTGAAAATCAACTCCAAGCTGACTAACAAGCCTCTGAAAAATTGTTGTCTTGTTTATGCTTAAAATGTCCTTCTAGAGACTGCTTTTATTCAAAATCTATTCAAACTGCAGTGAGTCTGCACAATTCAAATTTCACGTTCCCCTGAGCAGCAGTGCTGGGGGTAGAGGTGGAAAATCTGTTGAGTTTCTGTTTTCCTGAAAGTGCCCAGGGCACAAGGAAAGGGAAAATAACAGGCTTGAATGCTGAGGTGAAGTGACAGGACAGGAGAAATGACTGGGACATGCAGGCTCAGAGAAATGGCAGGAGGATGGATGATGATGTAAGGGGCTGGGAGAAGGATGTATAAACCCACTGACAAGCAAGCAGGAGGTTGAGGGAAAAAGGAGGGGCTGAAAATACATGGCATTGAAAGGTGACAGTGTAAGGCAAAATAATGTGCTGAAGTCCTAGACTGTAAAATAGGACTATCTGAACCAGTAAACAGGGATTGGTATGAGAAAATGGCATGAATACTAGGAACAGAGAAGTGGAGATTGAAGAACAGGGTTTTGGGGGGGAAAAAAATAAAATAGCTCTACCATGTAGAACACACTTTCAGAAAAGTGGAAATTCCAAATGAAAAATCTGTGTTGCTGTCACTACCTGATTGAAACTCATTTACTAAGTGTCAGTCTTTTCCTTCTTCAGTGCTGGTCATCAGATGAGTGTGTATACTTCTGATAATTTAGTAAGAACATCATTTGCTTGAGGGCAAAGTTCTGTATTATGATGTGATGGAAAGAAAACCCTACATAAATTCTGAGTGTTTACAATGTATGTTCACATACATACATGATAAAGGAACAGTATAAAAAGTCTGGAAGGTCTGGTACTCAAAAGTTAAGGTTATCCCAAAATGGAAGCTCTTTCTGTAGCCTTATCTCCCCCTGAATTTATTTTTTCTTTTTGTAAATGTATTTTATTGTTAATCACAATAATTAATTATTGTAGTATAGTCTTTAAACAGAATGAGTGCTATGCTTTGGGGAAGAATCATGCTTTTACAGCAAAATCAGTATGATTCTGGAAATTAATCCAAGTCAGAAAGTGAAGGATATTGTTGATCATAAAACTGTTGCAATATTTGTTGCAGCAATTACATGGTTATCAATAAGCAGGAGAATGCTTAGAGGAGAGGAAAAGAAGTTACCCTTGTTGAAGTCAACTGTTGTTGCCTCTGAAGTTGGATTCTATCCTCCATCTTGCCTTGGCATCACACAAAAACTCTCTGAGAGTCGTTTAAATCAGTTTTCACAAGTGTGCCTCAATTTCTGACTGTCCAAATGAAGGCTTTGAAGTCAGGTTACAGAGGTTCTGAGCTCTCACAGCTGCAAGTGAAGTCAGCAGGCACTGTTTTTTTTTTTTGAAGTGCTATATAAGGTTAAGTGTCTCCAAAGAATAAAGTACTGCCTGTTTAAAACTGGCAAGGAGAATTTACCAAAACTTTTACTCATTCTGTCTACATTTGCCACCCATTTATAATACTATCCTTTATTTTCTGGTTAGAATTCGAAAGTGAAGCATCTAGGTGTTCTAAATAGGATTACACCAGAAATACCTTTGAGAAAGGCAGAAAAATATCTTCTCAGAATAATGTTAGGAGTAGGCTTCAATAATTAAAAGCAATAGACCTGTTCACTGAATTAGGATAAGAGAAAGTAGAGGATGCTGGCACTGTGAACACAATCCATCATTTGGATTGTATAATGCTGGAACTGTGTAAACTGTGGAGTTGTGGGGAAAAGAATGGAACTCTGGAAACAATTTTTTTTTTACATAAAATGAAAGGCTGTATCACAACATAGACCAACAACTCTGATACTTTTTAGGCAGCCTTTGTTCTGACAGTTCTCTAAACTTTGAAAGCTTGGCTTTACAGCTTTGATATAATTTTTAAACTAGGCATGTGCGTGTATATGCCTATGATCCATGACTTTATGCATTTCATTATTGATAGAAATAAACCCTTACTTTCCCTCTTTAACCGAGAACCTTGAGCCAAAATGTGGTTTCATTTCTAGGTTGTTCATATGCCCTTGTTGTTTCAGTGCTAAGCTGCCTGATCTGTCAGGATCTTTAAAATTTCCATTATTAAATTCATCATGGAAGAAACTCTAGTCGTTGTGTTTCTTTTTTTTTGATGTGAAACTGCTACTTTAACTCAGTGCCCACCAAATTGGAGCTAACTTAATTTCATTTTTTAAAGTGCTTTCCTCAGTCTGTATTTATTGTGTGTTTCAGTGCTGAGAGTTAACTTTTAATACTTTTTTTTTTTTTAACAGATCTAATTGTGGTAGTAGCCTCAATTATTGTTCTGAGCATAGGATCTAATGGGCAGGTGTTTGCCACCTCTGCAATAAGGTATGTTCCTTTAGTGACTGCAGCTTTTCACAGCTATAGATATTATTAGATATATAATTTCCTAATTTCTGAATTAGATGCATATGTAATTTGCCTAATATAGGAAGGCTCATTATATACTGGACAGTGGAAGAGTGTGTGTTGTTGTGCTTGGTCACTGACTGGGAAACAAGACTACAGAAGCAAGGTGTATAAAGAATGGTGGAAATGATGAAGCCAAGAGGAAAAAAAATGAAGAAACATTATGTCCTACACGAAACATCAAACATTTCTCTTTCTGAGATAAAATAGTATTAGAGAGTATTGGTTTATTTAAGTAATCCAGACAGCACTTAACTCGGTACTTTCTGAGTATGAGTAATTACTTTGTTTAAAGAGCAATTATGTTTTTCTGGGTTTGTTTGGCACAAGTAACTCATACCATACATAAACCAGAAACATTTGATGTCTACAATGTTTGTTCAGCTTACATGAAGTACTGTAAGCTTGTTTTGGGAAGTAAAGTGGGCACATAGAAGAAAGGAATGATAAGTAGAGTAGATGTACTTCCCATTCCTAATTTAACTTGCAAGATGTGCTGGATGTTTTGTCACAAGCCTCTGATTTCCAGTAAGCACTGGGAAGTGACAATGTACAGTACTGTCTAAACTGTCTAGCTGAGTAGATGAACACTTGAGGGAACTACATGTATAAAGTATTTTTAAGGTAAGTATTACCATAGATCATTAATCCTTACATGGTGATAGATTTGCACAAGCAACATGAATATGATTTATCAGCTCATGTAGGAGGAGTGTGAATGTGAAAATTCCAAATATTTTGTTTATTTTAACGAGAAAAGTAGGAAGAACTTAAGTGAAAAGGCCTTCTGGGTGTTTCTATGTGAACCCAGGTGTCTTTGGGCTCAGTGCAGCCTTTCCTGCTGTTAAATTACATAGTCACTGTCATACAGCTCAAGGTGCTTTCTGCCAGAGAAGCTTAACCCATGTCTCTGCAGTGTTGTTACTCCCCTTGGCCTTGCCTTTGTTGCTTTTAAGGAGGTATACTGCTATGGTCCTCTTTGGACCTTCCTTAAATCCCAGCAATCCCAGAAAGATGGGTGAACCCATGTTAGGTTGTTTTCTAGTAGAATGAAGTTGCGAGCTACAGGCCCACAAGGTATGATGGGTTGACATTATGATCCCAGTGGCAACCAGTGAGACTGAAATCTGGGAGCACTGCAGAGCTCACAGCAGAGTCCTATAGCTTTCTGTCCTTTCCAAGTTCACCACACTGATAAAAATGGTGTTTCCAACCGATTCCTTCTCTCTTTTCAGAGGAAACGGGTTGTGCATGTTCAGAGGCTGTGTACCTGGAGTTTCTTGTTCACCATCTTGTTTTGTTAAATTTTCACTTGTAAAACTGCCAGCCTAAAACATGCATGCCAGCACCTGGCAGTAGCATAGCCATAACCATCTCAGATACAACTGACACAGGGAAATCAAGGACCACCATTAGGTCAAGGCATGAAGAGATGTGTCTAATAATTGTGCAGAGGAGCTACATGTGAATCTCTCCTCCCCTGACACAAGCAACTAATGAGCTATTACATTACATAAGTCTATTGGTGCTCACATGTTTGCTAGATTTTACAAATCTTGTCATTCTTCTTAGACTCATGTTTTAATTAGCAGCTTTTAAGTGGATATTTTAAAGTTTGCAGCTAATTAAAATTATTATTCCAATGGCCTATCAAAGAAAGAACAAAACATGATGTTCATATACCTAGTCACCTGTATGTGATTTGATACTCAGGATTATTGTGTGCTTTCCAAAAAAATGACAAGCATTTAATCTTCTGGCTGCTAGCTGTGAAAGCTCAAACAACCTGCTGTCTGAATGAAGGAGAAGTTGAATCTTTCAGAAAACAATATGCTTGCCCAGCCTTGAGTAACACCAGGGACTGAAGGATGGCACCATGCTGAGTTTTCTGCCTATTGGTGTAACCCAGAAAAATGGAACTGAAATAATAAAATTGAATTAAAAACCAAAACCACCAGAAACAAGGTTGTAAGGAGCTAAAAGGAGGAATAAAAATACTTGTAGTGAAAAATTTTTATATAGATGAACTCAACATTCATCCTTTCCTGCTCTTCCCTATTTTATTTTTGATTAGACAGTACCTTGAGTGTAGGCAGGCAATTAATCCTGCAAAGGGTGACTAGAATGAAATATATCCAGTGAATAAAACTGTGCTGAAGAACTATATGCCTATTTTATTTTTGATAAGACAGTACCTTGAGTGTAGGCAGGCAGCTAATCCTGCAAAGGGTGACTAAAATGAAATATATCCATTGAATAAAACTGTGCTGAAGAACTATATGGATAATTTTTTTTGTTGTTGTTGAAAATATTTGGAGTTTATGATTCAATTATTGTCCTAAAATCACATAGGACTGTATCTGTTTCCAATTATATAAATAAAAATAGATAAATTTAAACAAATTAATTTCCAGAAAAAGTGCTTCAGTAATACCATGTTTGAGTCACATTCTGCTTTTGGCAAATAGAGAATAAAGTTTGCTCGTATTCGTGCTAGCAAGGCTTGAAGCATTGGTTTTGCTTGGAAAGGAAGCATTTGACAATCATAATCAGGTAAAACATGCAAGTTTCCTCAGGGTTTGAAAGCATATATTTTAGACTTTTTGTTTTAACTGTCATCTTAGTCAATATTTCTGAATACATCCGAATATAATGAAAGGTGATCTAAACATGCTGCCCACTGAGATGCCTCAAGTCTGAGACACAACCTCAGCCGTGCTAGCAGAGTTTTCTGACAGGGCAGTGTGCTGGTGAACATGGTCAGCTCTGTCTAGCTGGAGCAGTGCTGTTTGTTCTCAAGCAGCAGTCTGATTTAATGCCTCCCTCTTCCTGCAGGGGGATCCGGTTTCTCCAGATCCTTCGCATGCTGCATGTCGATCGACAGGGTGGCACCTGGAGACTCTTGGGATCAGTTGTTTTCATACATCGTCAGGTACTAGGTCTTAAAGATCCACAGCATTTGGTTTACTTTATCCTATTCTTTTCATGGACTTCAAATCCTAGTCTGGTTTAAATAAACGGCTACTGTTGCAAGAGAAAAAATACTTTAAAAATCCATCGTGTGTTTCTTTCTACTTCTCATGGCAGAGGGGTTGGAACTGGATGATCCTTGTGGTCCCTTCCAACCCTGACAGATTCTGACCTGTTTTAGCAGAGGACTTTAGAGCCCTAATGGCTCAATGGTTGGACTTGATGATCTTGGAGGTCCCTTCCAACCTAAATGATTCTATGATTCTATGAAAATGGAAATGCTGTTGCTTACCTCAGGTCAGTGGCTGGTGGTATCAGCATCAGTGGTTCTTCTGGAAATTAAGTGTTGTGCTGTTTGGTGTTATGCTTAAATATATATACCCTTCAATATAATTCAATATAATTTATTACATTTTAATATAATTTAATATTTGTAATATAATTTATGTGAGTTACGTGAGCTGCCTTTCATATTGCAAATACTGTCCAGTGCCTTCACAGTAGATGGATTTATAGATTGGTTGTTCAGTGGAAAAAACAAATACTAGTGGAAAAGCCATGATAGAACAAGTCAATTATTTAAATAATACCATTTTCTCTCCCTGAACAAAGAAATTTTCTAATCAGTTCTATAAATAAACTAATTATGTTATGATAATGTGCAAGAAGAATTACTTTTTCAAGGGCGTAGTATTAAATTTTTATCATTAGCCTTTAAATCTTGCATATTGTACAATACTGTGGAGGGCTAATGCTGAGCTCTTTATAGAAGACTTGTAAGGATGTTTCTTTAACCTACTGCTTGTGAGTGTATATTTGTTCTCCAGATATTGACAAATAGCTGTAGATTTCCACACAGACATTGCTTCGTCTGCTATTTAGAAAACTGTTGTACTGAACAGAGAATGGGAGGTAATTAATCTAAAATATTAATTTAATGTGTACTGTAGAAAATTTTATGTCACAATGGCTGTGCAGCACTGATGCACTCCAAAGTACTCTAGTATTAAACCTATTTTCCTCCCATACAACAGGATGACCTTTAATGCTCCAAGTCTATGTGGTCATCACTTTTTATGGTTGCATTGCCTAGATATCTAGCTAGGGAAGAGCTGATACCCAAATACACTTTCTCAAAATTTGCTAACCTGACTGATAGAGGTGCATGAGAGAATTTTTTCCTATGTGTGTTCAGAGTTTTAGTCAAGAATCTGGAAATACTATCTCCAAAATATAACACTTAAGTTTTAAATGTAAATAAGTTCAAGGATTTAAATGGAAAAAAAAATACCCTTGGAGAAAGGAATTTATGAATAAACACACCTGAGATTCTGCTAATCCAAAGAAGTGATTATGGTGATATATAAAACTCTACAGATCTGTAGTACTTGTCAAAGCAGATCACCCACTAACACATTAATAAAAAGCAAAGATCAAACACACAGTTCTGTATTGACATTGGACAAGGGCAGCTGAAACCCTTGCAGGGTACCAAATTGAAGGGAAAATGGAACCTTTATTCCTGTCCAGTCTCCAAACAAAAACACCTCAGCTGCTTTTTCTTTACAGGGAGAGTACAGTCCTCATTTATTTGTCGAGTTTGGTGCTCTTTCAGAACAAATGGGACCCTTAAACTTGGACCTGTGTGGACCCAGAAGACCTTACTGAAGTTGTGACCAACAATTTCCATGTGTTTCAGAATTTTACGTATAGTATTAGCTCACTCACGCCAAATTTGGCTAAGATGCTCTTCTATTTTCAGCAAGTTCACCTTATACAGGCATTTTTTTTCCAAAAGCAACAAAACATGAGTCAATATCATGTGGTGGTGGAAAAACATGGAAAAATCACACAGTTTAGTGAAAAACTGTTAGTCGTCAATCCAACTCCAGCCTGTAAGCCTCTCAATTAGTTTTAGTTATTCCTCACCTTGCTTTGTGAGGTCTTCTACTGCTTTGAGGAGGGAGTTACTAATGAGTTGTGAATGTGGGAGTTTCTTGTATTTTTCCTAAGTGTTGAATTTTATAGTGTGTCATCCTTGCTGTAACTGAAAATATAAATCTAAGTTGAAAAAAACATGTTGACTCAAGTCACACAATATTATATTTATCTTTGTGCACATGTAGTTTTTGTTCATGCTGTTTCCTTTGCATATATGTATCTTAAAGTCCTTGCTGAAAATAGTAATTTGTATGAGGCAGTGCTCTTTATTCTAAAGTTCCTAGCTATTAAAAAATCATATAAATTACAAGTTTTAAGGCCAGCACTTAACACAGAAGTGTTCAAATTATCATCTACTCTCTGTGTCCTCTGAGACAAAATTGAAAGCAGTAATGGCTATTCCTCAATAACATGTAAAGTCTATTAATATCTAAACTGCAAGCAAAATGCCAAATATAGCTAAAAGACTTTTCTTGATGTGGAAGAAAGTGTGAAATCTACTGGAGATGAAGGCAGAGTGTTTTATTTGTAAGAAGGCAACAAGAATTAGTCTCCATTCCTGTTGTAGTTTTCTATGGATCACTGAAATTATAGTCATGGGTGTTAAACAGTTTCATCTGGCATTGAAAAAACATTGTGTAGGCAACGAAAATAAAAATTAGAGAAATGCAAGTAGCCAGTTATATATGTAAACACAAAGAACTTGTCAGAGCATTGAAGTCATATTAGCAAGTACACAGTGTACCGTTATCACTGGAGAAAAAGATAAGAAAAGAATGACCAACATAGAAATCTGAACTACTGAAACCCCAAGTTTTACTTCCTCTTAAAGTTAAAGCTTAGATTAAAAGACTTGCCCATGTGCAAAAAATGCTACTATCAAATTTCATTATTTAGGTCATTACTGAATGATGAGAGAAAAAAACCTACCTACTTTGCTTTGTGCCAAGATCGCTTAGAAACTTTCTGAATTTATTTTTTCATTAGTGCTAGAGCAGAAGGAAGAATGTATGTAGTTCCTGCTGCTGAATGAAGTTACTAGGTACCAGGGCTACATTTGCCCAGAAAGCTCTTGGGAAAGGGAAAGGAAGTTTTTCCTGAAGATTGTAACAATCCTGTATAAGTCCCTTATAATAAACTGGCCTAGATTCAACTACTCTTTGTTTTCCAGGGCTGAAGTGGAGGTTACACCTACCTCTACTTAAGATTTTACTTGAAACTGTTAAAGCATCAATATTCAGTCTTAAGCAAGCTAAATATCAGATACACAAGCTCATGGCTCAGCTATAGTCATGAACAAGACATGCTTGTTATTTCTTAACTGTTATTTTAGCATGCTGTTCATAAAGTGCATTTCTAAAGCTGATTTGCTATTTTTGAAATGTATTAACCTTTGCCATTTTGAGTGGACAGTTAAATTGAATGATTCCCATTCACACTACATAAAACAGGAGAGATGTCCCACCCTACGTTTAGGTGTTCAAGTGATCTTCTATAAATGATGGTTTTTTTAATTCTTTAGTCTGATATAATTAGGAAACAGGTCACTGAACTACCTGTTTTACTGGAAGCAAATTTTATACCTGAAATATAACAATTTTTCTACTGTAAAGCAATAAGCCCCAGATATTTCTAATGTTTTACCATGATAGAATATATATGATGTAAACCTTACATGCTCGTTTGCTTTATCTTTTAACAGGAACTCATAACCACGTTGTACATTGGATTCTTGGGATTAATTTTTTCATCCTATTTTGTTTATCTTGCTGAGAAGGATGCAGTTGATGAGGATGGAAAGACAGGTTTCTCCAGCTATGCTGATGCCCTTTGGTGGGGTGTGGTAAGTCTTTACTAACAAAACATGTGCACAAATGTAGGGCACAAGATTTTCTGCTGAAGTCGTGATGTTTTGGAATAATCTGGCATTTCCTTCTTTGTAAAATGTAGGGAAGCTTGATAATCTTTTAAAAAGGACACAAGAAAAAATATAATAGAACCAGCAGGATTATTTTCATGTTAAACATAATTGTGAAAGCATGATAGCAAGTCCTTGGCACAGGACGTTGAATATTTACAGACACAAAAAGTCACATTGAAATCCACATTTCAAAGAGTATAAATGCTCTCCAAAACCTATACCACTTCCTATTAAAATCTACTTAGTTATCTGCAAAAGTTGCTTAACTTTGAAAGTACCTTCTATATGAAACATAATTGTGAAAGCATGATAGCAAGTCCTTGGCACAAGACATTGAATATATACGGACACAAAAAGTCCACTTTGAAATCCACATTTCAAAGAGTGTAAATGTTCTCCAAAACCTATACCACTTTCTATTAATATCTACTTAGTTATCTGCAAAAGTTGCTTAACTTTGAAAGTACCTTCTATATGTGGATGTTAGATTAATGGCTATTTTTTAAAAATCCTTTTTTTTGTACAGCTCACTCTCTTGGTAATAAGGCAGACCTTGATGCAGGTTACAGATTCCTGTTGGTCTGGTTTTATTTCAATTCCATGGTTCACTTTATAGCTAAATAGTGCCATCAAAAGCAAGTGGCAAATCTCCTCAAATTCATCAACTACTTTGGATCAATCATCAGTCAGGGTCAGTGCAGACATTTGGGTTAACTAAGGAAAAAAATATCATTAAGGGGAAACTGAGATTTTGAATCAGTGGTAAAAGGAACAGATAGCTATGTACAGACTAAGAGAGTAGATTTTTTTCCCATACTCCTTTCATACAGCTCTTCTCACAATGATTCTCACTGTGACTGATGCTTTCCTTCCTGATTAGCTGTTGCAGAAACCATCTCTTCTCTTGTGGTCCCTTTTCTCCACTAGAGAACCTCATCTATCGTAAGATTTGGCTGTCTCATGACAAAGCCAATGAGATCTATCACATCAGTGTTAGTGACAGAGAAAAATGAGAGGACTAGAATAGATGCAGAGCCACCATATTCCAGGGAGAGAAGGATATATTTCAAGAGTGATTTGAAACACAATAAACTAGACTGATTCTTAGATGATAGACTTCAAAAATGCCAATGTAGTTATTGGGCCATAAACTAATTGTTTACCTGCATCCAAATAAATTGGTAAATCTGGAAAGAAAGACAAAAAGTTCCTAGCAGATATATGTATCTAGTCCTTAGATTCTGCATAAACCTTCACGTTAGTGAAGTATACAGATTATATTACATGTAGCCTGAGTTGCTGCTTTCTAAGTGGTTTAGTATAATCATCTTTTAACCATTAAATTCCTGTCATTAGGTTGTCAGGTATTCATTTCACTTGCAGAGTATCACCTATGTTTGTGCAAAACAGTACAAATCAAGAAGAATCTAGTAAAAAAGAAAAAAATGCACTAAATGGCTAGGTGGACCTGATTAGATAATGTGCTGGGAAGAGACACAACCATGAACTAGCCCATGTAACAATCACTTGTTAAAGTCCTCAATATGACATGACAAAATTTTCAGAATGTAAACCCTCATGGCTATAGACATGAGATAACTTCTTTCTAGTAGAGAAAAGGAATAAATGTCCCAGAAGCACAGATCTTGCCACACTTTAGAAGCCAAAGTAAAAAAATCAGGGTGTAATTGACATTATGAAGGATGCCCCAACCCCATGTCTACTTTAAGAAAACAAACACAGGCTCACTTCTTCTGCTATTATTTGAGCAGTTCAGCTCAAATACCAGTGTTTAAATGATTGAGGACAGTGGAACACAGCTACTGGTTTTGTATTTATTAATGATCTCACTGAATAGTCTTTGAAGTATGTCTAATTAAGAGTGGGGCTGCTTGTGGGAAGTTCAGCAGCAGTAGGGGCTCCCATAAAAGTTTTGTGCTAGTTAGCTAAATCTATGAGGAACATGTCATAAACTCCTCTGGCACAGTGAAGTTCCATAGGGGTTTGTAGGACCACAAGAATTAGAATGACACCAGTGAAAGAAATGGAAAGCATAGAGTTTTTTAAGTAAGGAGGTCTTAAGTTAATATGTAATCATTGAAGGATGGCAATTTGCTCAGCAAAATCAAGTAATTCCTACGCCTGTAACTGCAAAAGGCCAGAAATACCCCAAATCAAATGTGAATGGGAGGGAAGAAGGGAACATCTTTCCTTATAAAGCTGAGAGGAGCAAGGCACAGAGCAAAACAAACAAACAAAATCTTTTCAGCCATCAGTTTGGGAACTAGCTGTGGTTTTTAGCATCCAGTTCTGCCCATGTACTTTCATGCACAGGTTATTCTTTCATGTAATAAAACTTCCATGTGAAGCCAGTGGACCTTTTTTACCTTTCTATTTTATATTTTTTTTTAGCTCTAGTTATCTAGAGCTTGCTTTACATGTTGCAATCAAAGTTTAGATCTAGATTACAAAATATTTTTAAATGCTATAAGTTACAGCCTTGATTTGAGTAAATAATAAAAAATTAAGGTCAAAAAATCAGGATGTGTTTATACAGGCATATTCTGTTAATATTTTGGACATATGGAATTTAAAAGGCAGTCAGTTATGAAGACCAACAGATAAGTTAAAAAAGGGCATTACTTTACCTTGTTGAGATTGATGACTTGGAATCTGTATTTAAAACTATATGTTCCAAAGTGTTCAATGAGTTTTATTGTTTTTTGTTTTTTGTTTTTTTTTTCCCAAACTTAACTTATCTTGTGGAAAGGCAAGATAAAATCAGCTTTGTCTTTCTCTAGCTGCGTGAGGCACATGAAGAACACTGTTTAAATTGTTGTTCAAGCTTTTCAGATGTCTAGGCCTCCTCAGCATTAGTGAGTCACGGTGCAGGTGCAGTTCACAGCTGGGAACAGTGACAAAGGACAAAGTGAATCAGTTTCTTTTTCTTTTCACATCTTCTGTAACACAAAAACACAGATGTGGAGCTACTAGGGAGTGAAATTTGATTTCGCTTTTGCCTTTTAAAACTGAACCACAGGAAAAAAAAAAAAAATCTTGGTAGCAAGTATTTGAAAGTCTGATGTGTCTGACAAACCCCAGAGTGTATTATAGGTAACATTTTGCTTTGAGTAGAAAGTGCAAGCTTGCTGAACTTCATACAAGTGACCCGAAAGGTTTAAATATGAAGAAAAGGGAAAATAAAGAATGAAAGTGAGCTGGATTTAAATGCTAACTACATTCACCTGCTCCAGTTAAATGCGAGGTTGTTTCACCCAGATCTGGTAGACACATAGGTTAAACTGCAAAGACATGTCAAAGGCTTGTGGTATTTTATATGAAGCCACTTTCAGAAGTTCTAGCATACTAGAACACGTGCATTGCCAACAGCACTGTCAATCTGCCAGAATTGCAACCCATGTCCCAGCTGTTTTCCTGTCCTTTCTGGGTGTTATTCCTTGAGGAAAGAAGATGGGCATGTATGAGGCTTCTCTTCTGTCAGTCCTTTTATGCTCATCTCTTGCTGCTGGTTATGAGGGTTATGAGTATGCACATACCTGTGGTAATTTGCCATAGTAAAAGTCTATGTTACAAAGGAGGTGTCATTTTCCAAAGCCTAGTAATTAAATATTCTCTGAGCAAATAGGTAATAACTTTTGATATACAAGTAGAAAAAGATCCTGGTTGTGATTAAGAAAGCCAGAGAATTACATTATTTATAATCCTTTCCACATACTTCTATGCACTGATTAGATTACCAAGAAGGAACTCTCTTAAGCTAGAAACCTTCTGAGACATGTTCAGGCACCTGCAGGAGTCTGCCAGCTAAAAGCCTGCTGTAGAGGTGGAAAATAATTTTTCTGTGGTTACAGCTTTCATGCTGTCTTCCCTCATAACACGAAGGCAGCTCAACATTACTGCAGTTTGTTTTTAAGAGCTGAGCACTGGAGAACTAAAAAAAAAAAACAAAACCCAAAACAAAACAAAAACCCAAACCAACCAGCCCACAGAAAACCAAGAAGCCTTTCATAAGAAAAAAGAAAGGCAAAGGAAGGGAAAATCCCAGACTTTAAGGGGTCATCTGGGTGCACTGAGGAGCTGAGGCTCTGTTAAAGAAATCCTGCTTTAACTTCCTTCATTCCCCACTAGCCTACTGCACTTCAAAGCTGAGTTTTGGGTGGGTCTGGTTTAATTTGGGGGGCTGGCAAACTCATCTGTTTGTACTGGTGGTGGTACACAGCACCTGAATCACTTCAGGGGCAAGCCACGTTAAATCTGGACAAACACCTGGCAAGACAGAACTGCTGAGAGCAGTTTGCAGTTAAAAATAACAATATTCATTAGAGGATATAGATGCTACAATGTTGACTTCATCAAGTGAGAAATTCGTGATGAATAAACATAAGTCTTTTTTTTTTTTTTTTTTTTTACTTGGAAAAGCTCAGTTCTGTAGTAGTTGGTAATTTTTTCCCTGAAAATCTTCCTTCCAGCTCTCTACAGACCTGCTCTGAGAAAGGAAGGAAATATATTTTTACCATGCTTGTATTGCTGATAGTTTCTTCTGAAAAGCCTATTTTTGCATAATATCTAAGTATTTATTTATTAGCAGCTTTTCCCATAGAAGGCAGTATTTCCACATCCTCTTTTGTGGTCAGTGTAGATTTTCATGTTCCTTTAAGACTGTTTTTGCTGCATTTCTGTTACCATTCAAGACAAAGTGAAGGGAATGAGACAGGGTTTAGGTCTGGTGCCCCCACATAGAAATACCTATTTCTACTCAAAGCTCTTCCCAGCAATTGGTATTGGTGACATAATTCTTCTTTTCCTCACCAGAAGCTTTCTTCTTCAGATCCAGAAGTTCAGTCAGGATCTGGTGTTCTGGAGCTCAGCCTATGGGCTGACTTCCATGCTCAACCTTAGACTTGTGTCATCATTCTGATGTTGCTGTATGATTTACATTCTTTATTGGACACAGCCACTGCCTGTGAGTATATCCAGCTGTGGAGCTGGCCCCAGGGTGCTGAAGCTATTGTTACATTACAAACCCTTGTGATGGATCAGCTTTCACCTGGACTCTGATGCCCACTACAGCACTGGGCTGCTAATGAGCTCTCTTCCAGCCTGCTGGGGGTCAGCAGGACCTCTGTCCTGTTCAGGCCCTCCCTGCCTCTGTAGCTTTTCAGGGGTGGTACAGCACCTTCACAGTGATTTAGTCCCCCTAGAGCAAGCTCCTGCTGATGGCAGACCTGTGTGAGGATGTGCCTTGCTGAGAGGGGAGGCTGTTCTCACAGCCCTGAGGTGGTGCTTGGCCAGCATCACCTGTGGCCTCCACCCATGCTCAGGGGCTCTATTTAAGCTCAGCACTCTGCTAGCAGAGAGGTGTTCTCTAGCTCAATTGTACCTACTTCTGGCCTTGAAGTCCTATGAGCCTGACTTTAAGTCATGGGCTGATATTTTGGCTTTGCCTCATCCCTGTGGATCCATGTGCTGACCACTGGCTCTTATCCTGACTTGTGGATGGACTTTCTGGCTTGATGGTGGACCTGCCTCATTGCTGTGACATTGTCTTAAAATCTGGACTTTTGGTTGGACCTGGATGCTCTTTCAGCATCATTTTTGAGTGGGTTCTGTGAGACTGGGTCCTGACAGTGTCCTGCAGGCTGTGTCATCTGCCTTGACTCTGGGCTCCCCATCCCTTAGGGATCACCTGGCCTTTGCTGCACCCTGATAAGCAATGAGCTGATCCAGGTACAGTAGTATGGTGCACACTGTGGTTTAAATGCAATGTTAGTGGCAAAGAACTGTATTTGTGGGGGGAGGAAAAAAGGCTGAGCGTGGAGCTCAGCTGTATTTAGCTTTTGGAGGCCTGTTTTCTCTGGGAGATAAATCCTGGAATGGTTGTACGTTCTTCCTCTTGCTGTGATGTTCCAACTGGGTTGTTGTTCTGTCCATTTTGGTTCCTGCATGCCCAGGGCATGGTTTACCCTTGTGCAGCTGGTGTCTCTGACTGCAGAGTGTGGATGATGCGTGTGCATTGGTTGTGTGCAAGTCAGTCCTTTCAAGGCTTTCTTCTCAACCTTGTGGAACCATAGTTTAAGAAGAGCAGAACTCCAAACCTATGGTTTCAGGACCATGGGGCCAATCCTTGGAGGTTTAGGAAGAAACAAGATAAATTTGCAGTGATGTTCAGTGTATTCCTGTGCTTTCCTTATGGATCAATAGTGTTTTGGGTTCATGCACTTGCATCTCCCAGTGCTTCTCTACTTTTTTATGTTTCTTTTTTCCTGCTTTTAGGAGAAAAAAAGGCACCACAGTGCAGTGAATCAGATCTTTGTTTCTGCCCTAGGTAACGGTCACAACAATTGGTTATGGAGACAAAGTTCCCCAGACCTGGATTGGGAAGACAATAGCTTCCTGCTTTTCAGTGTTTGCCATATCTTTCTTCGCCCTGCCAGCGGTGAGTAGAGCTTGGATCACTTCATGAAGGTGTCTGTTGAACTTGGACTAGATGGTTTTAAATTGGTGCCTTTGACAGGAGACAATGGGGTTAGGTGTTGCTTCAGAATATGCATGCCCACATCCTCAGGTGCATGTTTGTGTGTCTCTGTGCACACACACAAATGAAACTGCTGTATCTTTTACTGCAGTCACTTTACAGAGATGTGGCATAGAAAATAGGTGTGAATAAATTTCACTACTTGAAGAACTGAAGCTGTTTTATGAAGTTAAGAAAAGGAGAGGAGCTTTTCTAGTAAACGTGTTGTTGCTAGACGTGAAACTTCCTTTGTTTCTGCTATTTTGTGATTATCTAAGAACAATTTTGTGTCCTATAAGAACATTGTCTTGAAATGGAGATCTAGGAAACTGCATCTACTTTTCTATATGGTACTATAAAGTATCTTTGGGCTTTTTGGATCTTCAGATAAATGACTGGGGGGAAAACAAAGACAACTTCATCAAAACAATTACAAAAGACAAAATATTTCTTCAATAACTCTCCATTTTAACAGAAATGCTGATATTATAAAGTATATCTTTGGCTTCTTAGCTCGGTTTACCTGGAAAATCAACTAGTGTTCTGGCTTTAGTTGTGGGGTTTGGGGTTTTTTTGGGTTTTTTTTTTTTTTTTTTCTTTTTCCTTTTTTTTTGGCAAGGACCTAAAAATAAGTGCAAAGAATAGCTGTAGATCAGTCATGTGACATTGGCATTTGCTTCTCCCACCATTGTGTAGGATTGCTTTTGGAATGTCACTGTGTAGACTGCAGCAATAAACATGTTGTTTATTGAAGTTACATGATGCCAAGATCAGTGTGCTCCTTTTCAGATTTATTTGTTGGAATAAATAGAATTTTGTCACTGTGGACATTTAAAAAATCAGAACTTTTCCTAGGAAAGTCATTTCTAAACTATCTGTTTACTTTTGTGTGTTAAGTATTTAGTTTAGGCACGTGAAGCTGTATTGGAGTCTAACTAGCAGTTTTGTTTATATTTAGGGTATCCTGGGGTCTGGTTTTGCCCTGAAAGTACAGCAGAAGCAACGTCAGAAGCATTTCAATAGACAAATCCCAGCTGCAGCTTCTCTAATTCAGGTAAGACCCCTAACAGTAAAGTACTTTAGGAAAGTATTAGAAAGGGACTGTGGCTTCATAGTTAAAATACTGAGAATCACAGTTACTAAACTTTATTATAAATCTACAACTTGTATTTAATCCCTTTGTCTTTTTGATTGATTTAAGTCACTAGGGAGAATTAGATAGCTGCCTTATCACCTCCCTTATGAGTGAGCATAAGGCTTTACTAACCCAGTATTCACAGGCATAATGACACTGACAGGATGCAGTGAATCTATTGAGTGAAACAGTAAAATGAAATAAAATAAAATCTGTGTTATGATCTTAAATTTCTACCTTTTTAAATATTCTCTTAGATTCTGTGCATCTGCCCGGCCCTGAGGTGATGAATGCACACACCTCAGTTTAGAAAAATGCCCCAGCATAACATTCTATATGATAATATAAAATATGCAGCAGCAGAAAAAGGGAAACAGCAGTGTGCTGTGATGCTTCTGGGTGCTCCCTAGGAGGGCTCTTTGTTTTGTGGTTTGGTTCTGGGGTGTTTTGTTGTTGTTTTGCTGTGGGCAGGGTTGACCCCAGCCTGTAAGGAGAATGCTACAAAGAGCATACTCGAGATCACAGTGTGCTGAGTTTTTGTTTCCTGGTACAAATTACACTCACCACAGTTATTGAGAGGGAGAAGTGTATTTTATTAGGCCTGGTGGTGTGTGTTGCAGCACAGCGGTTGCTGGCGGAGCCCTTGGAAGCACGTTTGCATTGATTGAAGATTTTGCTGGCAGTTTGATTTGCAGCAAAATCTGACTTATCTGTCCTGCAGGACAGCAGTGATTGCTTATTCACTGAGGCTATTGCTTTGGGGTTTCATTGCAGACCCTGTGGCGGTGCTATGCAGCAGAGAAATCCTGCAGTTCTACAGCAACATGGAAGATCTATGTGACATCACCGGTGCAGAATCCCAAAAAAACACCAGCGCCATCTAGCCCTAGCCTGAGAAAACAGGTAACAGAGTTGGCAGAGCTCTGGTCTGTTCTTGCTCTTAATTTGATTGGGATAACTTGTTCAAAATCCTTATGAATCATCCGAAGAATTGTGAGAGCTGAAAGGCGTTTAGAATGGGACGTCTGATTTCCTCATGCCACAGCATGGTTAGATTAATTTTCCTTAAAATATTCCCAAGGGACAAGTGTCTTCTAATTTTATATTTACCCTGGTGGTCAGCTGGATTCCAATTCTCTGTTGTTTTATCAGTTTTGAAGTCTCCTCTACCTTCTCAAAGGGTGTAGTGTAAGTCAATGATCACACTTGACTATTTTGCATTCATTTTGCTGGTGGTTCATACAGGAAGAAAGGAGAAAGCTGATTTAAAAATGTATCTTCACATTCAACATGTGGCTGACAGGAGTATCTACATTCTTGTTCAAGTACTTATCTTTCTTCATAACTGGAGGTAGAAAAACCATGAGGAAAGGGGTAAAGCTGAAATGAAGCTGGGTAGCATGTGTTGCTGAAGGAGATCTGGAAAAAAACCCCAGGTTTTAGTTTCCTTAGTGTTTTCCCTCTGTTCTCTCTAGTGAGAGGGATTTCCCTAATATATTATTAAACTTGAACTTCCCTATGAACTGCTAATGCTATTTTAAGAACATAGTAATCACGCTTTCATTTTTCACCAGTGGATCCCCTTCCCTTGTCAAAGGAGATTAGTTCTTTCTTTTTCTACCTAGCCTATTATTTTAAAGACTTAAATAGATACTGATCATATTGTGCATGTTGTAGCATTTTTGTTTTCCAGAGAACTCCTGGTTTCTTTTTCTGCTGTGAGAGCCCATAATCTTTGCCTTCAGAAATATTTCAGTGCATGATGGTGCATTCACTGTCTACAAGAAATTCACTGTTTACAAGAAATTCCCATTTCTCTCATTTTTGGTGCCCTGTTTTTTTTTGAACGTGCTTTCATTTCATTGCTACAGAGCTGAAAGGAATGAATGAATTCCAAAAGACTGAAAGCAGACTGCAATAAAATAAGAATTGGTTTGCTTAGACTGAGTCAAGTAGTCTTATTTGTGGATATATTAAGCCTCCAGCAAGTTCAAGTATGCCTCCTGTCTCTCTTTTGAGATATGAGTGGTAGAATCAGGTGGGACTTGAGCTAAAGAGTCCCAAGAGTAGTCAGAAGACTAGAAATAAATGCTGTGTGGTGAGAAGCAGTATTTATATGGCTAGGTGGTGGCAGCATCCAGGAGGCAGACAGCACAGGCCATGTAGTACATGCCAGTATATGAATGGCTGTTGTGTTGGCCACTTGTAGTTATAAATGCAGATGGAGACCAGCCTTGCTTGGAACCAGTTGAATCCAAACCTTCATTTTCCATTCTGTACCAGTTGTAGGGTGTTTATTAGGTTGTCTCTTCAGCTTCTAAAATCAGGAGAACTTCAGCTTTGGAGGCAAGAAGGAAAGATTTATCTTCTCATGTGCCTAATTCAGCAATTTTGGTAAAAGGTGAAATTTTCTTTCGTTTAAAAGGCTGCACAGTGCCTAGTTCATAGTTCAAAGACTATGTTTATGTTGAAATAGAACTTATGAAAGACTACAGCCAAGCTGTTGTATGCTATCTAGTGAAGTTCACATGTACTTTTCTGGTTTTGATACTATCTTCTGATATCATCCCATTTCTACTACCACAGGCTAGAAGATCCAAAAGAAAAGGGAAACTGGGCTGTGGTAATGGTTCTGCACCTGTAATAAACCCAGGAGAGAATGCCCTGTCTGTTCCACAAATCACTTATGATCACATTGATGAAGACAAAGACAGAAAAGATGTGTCCTTCTACATTGATGAACCAGGAGGTAATTTACTTATGTTCAGGTTGGCGTTCTTTAAGAGACGATATTGAAGTGAGTTGAACTGATGAAGGGAAAATTTCCTTGAAAAAATAATTAAAATTAATTAGTTTTAAACTAGTTACTAAAAAGCAACACGCTGCAAAGCAAGGAAAACTACATAACAAGAACAATGGGACACAAATTAAAGGAAATCTTTTTACTTATGTGGTATGAACATCAAAAGAGTATAAGTTGTTTACCAAAATTAACTCAATTAAGATATTTGATATATTGTTATTTTTTTTGCATTATCTCAGAGGTGGATGGAAAGCTTCCTCAGATCTACCCTACCTTTGAACTTTACCTCACATAGAGCCTTAAGGAAGAAAAATAAGCCAGGAAAAATACCTTTACTCTTTTACAGCACCCTCTTAAACACTGTGTAAATAAATTGTGATAGGAATAGCTAAATATTTTTATACCTACAGTTAACCAAGAGGTTTTGATAAGTGGGGATTTTTCTTACTTAATTTAAATTATTGTGTGTTGCTATAAGTGGGTGTTGTATTTCAGCCTGGAAACTGGCTGAATTTCACTGCTGAGCTAAAATACTGCTTTGTTTGTAATATTCTTTTTTTAAAAAATTCAGTTTGTAATTGAAATGTATGTATGAAATAGTATTGTCATGAAGGTCAACAAGGCCAAGTGTAAGGTCTTGCACCAGGGTCAGGGTAATACCAAGCACAAATAGAGGCTGGGCAGAGAATGGACTGAGAGCAGCCCTGAAGAAAAGGACTCGGGGTCATTGGTGGATGAAAAACTGAACATGAGCCAACAATTTCACAGCCCAGAAAGGCAATCACATCCTGGGCTGCATCAAAAGAAGTGTGCCCAGCAGGCTGAGGGAGGGGATTATCCCCCTTTACTCTGGCGAGACCCCCATCTGGAGTACTGTGTCCAGCTCTGGAGCCCAACATAAGACAGACAAGGACCTGAGGGCCACAAAGATGAGCAGGGGGCTGGAACACCATTCAGCTGTGGAGCCCCAAACATAAGAAAGACATGGACCTGCTTGAGCAGGTCCACAGGAGGACCATGAAAATGATCAGGGGGCTGGAGCACCTCTCATGTGAAGATAAGCTGAGAGAGCTAGGATTATTCAGCCTGGAGAAGAGAAGGCTTTGGGCTTATCATGGCCTTCTAGTACTTAGAGTCCCTTCCTATCTTTCCTGTAGGTCCTCTTTATCAGGGAGTGTGGTGATAGGATGAGGAGTAATGTTTTCAAACTGAAAGAAGGCAGATTTAGATTAGATAGTAGGAAGAAATTTTTTATTGTGAGAGTGGGGAGACACTCAAGCAGGTTGCCCAGGGAAGCTGGACACCCTGGCCCTGGAAGTGTTCAAGGCCAGGTTGAATGGGGTTGTGAGCAACCTGATCTAGTGGCAGGGGTCCCTGCCCATGGCAGGAAGGTTGGAACAACTATGGCAGGAAGGTTGGAACAAGATGACCTTTAAAGTCCCTTCCAAACCATTCTAATAGTGATATTTTAATTGTTGTTTGGGCATTTCCAGTGCTTTTATAGGGCTCTGGGAAAGGTGACGGAGGGTATGGTTTATAAATAAAGGTGCTGCTTTAACTACATGTCTCTTAACAGAATACTATCTTCATTCTCAGCATGTTTCTTCAAGTGTGCAGCTTCCCTTGCTGACCATGTAATAGCAGATTTTGTTGAGTGTGTTTTGCTATTATAGTGTCAGTTGGTGATGGACAGAAGGAGCAAAGTGTTGTGTAACTTGTAACAGCACTGACAACAGTTAAGATGCTGATGACTCTGTTGTCTGTGTTCATGACTGCCATTGCACAGTCATATGCTATGATTCTTCAATGTTCATAGTCTGAGCAAAGCTCTGTGTGTCAGAGGAAAGAGGTTGAAAAGACCAGCCTGTATGGCTTTCTGCCTGACAGCTTGGCAATACAGAAAATGAAGGAATTTTTCCACTTTTTCTAAAGATGTTTTCTTCTTGTGCTTCTGTTATAGCTGGTTTAACTTGCTCTGAGACAGCCATCCCTAGTATTCCCTTACCAATTCAATTTTATCTATTTTTTGATTTTCTTTCACATTTTGCCTTAGCCAGTGTCAGGGGTAAGTCACACTTCATTTGGTTTTCTGATTCATTCCTTCTGTTCCAAAGCTTCCAGGAATGCAGCTGGCTAACTCAATTGCTCAATTCGCTGAACATTCTTGACACCTCTCAAAAGTTTAAACCTGATTTCTGCCAGTGAAGTTTTTGACAGAATTAATAGGCTTCTGTTCTTGGGAAGTGGAAGTACTAGTCTTCAAGCCTATAAATGTGGGTGTTTTTTCCTTTTTAAAAAGCCGAAAGTAGAAAAGGCAGAGAAACTAATAATTAAAAGAAGGCAACTGAAAATGGCCATGCCAGCTTTTATTTCAGTGTTGCTATAGTGGAATATTTTTATTCATTGGCTGTGAGGGCTGGATGTTTTATGGTTGATGGCAAACGCTGAGGTTGAGTTAGGTCACTTTTATAGGCCTGATGTAGGAGGAGTAGAGCTGTTCCTTTGAAACAGCTCTTCTAGTCTGCTGCTCTGATCAGATGTGACAGACTGTAAAGAGACCTAAAACAAATGCCTGGCAAGTGCAGGGAACAGAATAACAGTCCCACTAAGAAAATCACTTGTTCTGGGCAGAAATAAACTGAAATTAAGTAAGAATTTCCTTTGATAAATGAGAGCTACATTTTGTGAGCACACCTTTTTTGAAGAAAATATGTTTTTTCTTAGTATATCCTGTTCATGTATCCATGCCAACCCAGCATCCTCTTGGCTTGCTCAAAACTTGCTTAGGAGGTGTATCTTTGAAAGTCTGGCAAAAAATCTTTTCCTCTTCTATATGAAGAAGGTTTGAGAAAAAGAAAGCCCTATAAAGCCTATGGATATGATCAGCATTAAGGCTTCTGAGGTACTCATGTATGTGTAATAAGCATAAAATATTGGATAGTGCATAGTGTAGAAACTAAATCTTTACATACCATAAATGATGGAATCTTGAAACACTTGATAACCTAAAAGCAAAACAGTTCTGATTTATTTCTACACCATGCATGGGGTTTGAGTGTGACTAACATAGACTGCTCTGTAACCCTTAGAAGTTGATCATCATTGCAGGAATGAAAGGGCCAAAAGTCTTCTGCAATAATAGTCTGCCTGTTTGAAGTCAAACCTCTTAACATGAGGAGGCTGTTTAAGAAGAAATTTAAAAGTAACAGCTAAAAGCAAAAATGGATTTAAGAAAAGCAATTCCAGAAAAAAAACTGCAATGCTGAAGATACTCTAGTCCAGTATCTTCTTTTTATGGATATGGAATCAAAGAATTGTTTTGGCTGGAGGAGACCTTTCAAAATCATCAAGTCTGACTGTTAACCCAGCACTGCCAGGGCACCATGAAACCATGTCCTTAAGCACCACATCTACATGTCTTTTAAATACCTCCAGGGATGGTGAGTCCATCACTGCCCTTAGCAGCCTGTTCCAGTGCTTGGCAACTCTTTCTGTGACAAAACTTCTCCTAATATCCAACCTAAACCTCTTCTGGCACAACTTAGGGGTGTTTCCTCTTGTTCAGTCTCTCTGTTCTAATATACCTGTTGCTCCTACTGAGGAAGAATTTCATTCCAATGGGCATGATTTAATTGTTTCATGTAGAGATTTAAAAACCTCAGTGATTTAATGACTTGAGATTATAGCCATAGTTGTTCTCTATAGTCTTGAAACTGATCTTTACCTTACTTCTGTCAACCATGGTGTACATACCCTGCTGCAGCAGTGTCTGTTATTAGGATGACAAGATATATGTGAACTTTCTGGCATCTTTAAAGTTTCTGTAAGATTTAAAGGCAGAACTTAAGTATCAAGAAGGTAGTTATGACAGCAGGACTGAGTGGCAGGTCATAAAGACTCATCCAAATAGAAGGAAAAAAAAACAAAACAAGACAAAAACCAAAGACTCAACTGCCTGTATTGGCTTTTGGTTGGTTTGGGTTTTGGTTTTTGTTTTTTTTTTTTAAGTGAAGTCTCTTTTAAAAGGACTTGAGTTTCATCTTCAAATAACAGCTATTCACTGCAATGTCTGCTTCTCAAAAGGAACTGAATAGCTGTTTCATAATGCTTTTTATTAGGGAGGGGAAAAAAAAAAAATTTAAAAGCTCTTGGCCCTTGAAGGTCAGCCTCCTGGGACATCTCCAGCAGATGGAATACATTATTCTCTGTCAGTTATTGTAGGTTGTATACACAACTCATTATTGTAAAATCTGTCAAAGTCAGAAGACTCAGGGTGATAAATCTCTGCTGGGGTAAAACCAAAATTCCCGATTTATCACTGTGCTTTTTGGTTTGCTTTTTGGAGTTTCTGCATGCTGACATATTTCCCCTTCCACCACTCCCCCCTATATTCAAAATGAAGCTATACAAGAGGAACTTTTCAGCGGGAGGGGGGAGAGAATTGTAATTTTCAATGACCCCCAGAATACCTTTGCAAGCCCTCTTTATATAAAGTGTGTAGTAGTGTTAATGTTGATTTATTCTGTCTGTAATGCTGGTTTGGATGTTGACATTCCAGAATTCATCTGTCTAGCAATGGGTTGGTTGTTCCTGAAAACTGGTTGCATTTCCATTGGGGAAAAAGGGCTGTTTTCCCTCAGTGGTGTAGATGGATTACAATCTGCAGTACATATAAAGAAGCAAACATTTTAAATGAAGCAGATTCATAGATTCCAGTGCTGACAAGTTGAGTGAAAGGTGAGAAAAAACATGTGGCGAAAATTAACAGGATAAAGCAAACACCAAAAGCTTTTGAGGGTCTGCATAACTGTCAGTAAGTCAGAAAAGCATAAATAAAAAGATATACTCCAAATTAGCAAGAGAAAGTATCCAGGTAGTGTGCTTCTGGAAAAACATCATGCATTAAGAAGGTGAGTTTAGCAGATGTTGGTGGTTTTGCAGTGCAA